CGCGAGCATCGCCGTGCGCGGGGCCGGGCATTGCCGCGGGTCCTGCTGGAGTTTCAGGACTAGGTAATAAAGTGGAGCGGTGATGCGTGCTGTCAGCTTTGCTCGTTGCTTAGGTACGAACGCGGTTGTGAGTGGTTTCTTTTTTTTCGGGCTTTTTTTTTTTTTTTTTTTTTTCTTTGCCCGATGCTTTTCTCAGCACGCTGAGAAATTTGACTGTCCCAAGAAACTATGCTTGACGTAAGTTGTGTCAGGTAAAAGCGGGCCGTTCTGTGCTTTCTCCTTATGCGTGAAAGCGATCACTCAGGGCAGTACATCTGCCTTTGTGTGAGGTGTAGGTGTCACCAGCGCTAAGTTCACAGTGTGACCTGGAGCAGCCGAACTGCTCCCGGGATCCACGTACTCTGACGCAGAGATTCAGGGAGCTTCCTTCTCTCCTTTCTCCCTCAAGACTGGTGGCAGTGCAGCCTTTCTCGGATGCCTTTCAGCGCGGTTGGGGTGGAAGCTGTGATAGGGAGGCAGATTGAGGGCAATGCTCTTAAGTGCTGATTAATCTAGGAGAAAATGGTGTAAGGAAGATGGTGTAAGGTATCTTTTTGGAAGATACTTGAAAAAACGAAGTGTATGTTCAGTGCGATCTGCTTTTTTTCACCTTTGTTTCAAAACTAGCTTTTGAGAAACTTCAGAAGGAGACTTAGAGACTTAGTACCACACTGAGAGTGAGAGAAAGGTGAAGTCTGAGGATGCGTTACAGGCAGATCAGTGGAGCTCTTTGAAAGAATTTTTCCTAGACAGAGGTTCTCAGGTGTTTTGGGAGTGATGCAGGTTTTGATGAAAACCGCGAGTTTCATGCTGTGGTTTGTGAGATGCAGCCTTGGCACTGCAGGAAGGCATGGTCTGCAGGGTGCTTGAATGGGCTGGCTTTTTGTTGAAAGGTGTTGAGGGTTTTCTGATTGCAGGATGTGCAAACTATCAGGCAGTTAAAACACAAGCTGCTGAGGCACTGGAATTAAAAGTGCTCAACAACAAATAATTTATTAAAAACAAACAAACAAAAAAACCCAGTAATAATAAAATCTGTCTTGTATTTTAGTTGTTAAATACTTTTCAGAATAAGCAGAGTGATAGAATAACATTGTATTTCTTTGGAACCAGTGGATGTTACTTACAGGGAGTAGTTGTGTCCTGTTAGATGCGGAGGATAGTTTGAATACAGAACTTAATTCTAGTGGGGATCAGAATGCATGAAGTTAAACAAAGAGGAAATGTTTTTGTTTAGATCAGGAAGCTTCTCTCCAGCAGCAAGCTGAATGTGAGTCAGCACCATGCCGAAAGGCCAGCTTGCCCTGGGGTGAGAAGAGGGCTTGTCCCCTCCACTCGGTGCTGTGTGGCCTCACCTCCAGCACTGCATGCAGGCTGGGTGCTGGTGTGAGGACATCAGACTATCAGAGAGTCTGAAGACAAAGATGGGGAAGGGTCTGGAGAACAAGAGGTGCACAGAACAGCTGCAGCCCCTGGTTTTGCTCAGAGCAGAGGAGCTGAGGGGGTGCCTCATGGCAACGAGCTGCCTATGAGCAATAAGCTCTGCTCTGTGACAGTGACAGAGGGAACGACATGGAGCAGTGCTAGGGAATGGTTGGGGGGTCAGGGTAAGGCTGTGCCCCAGAGGGCAGTGGGCATGGCACAGCTCCCCAGGGCAGCAGGCACGGCCTTGAGCTGCTGGAGCTGTGGGAGCGTTTGGGCACCGCTCTCAAGCACAGAGTTTCGGTTTTAGATAGTCTTGTGTGGAGTCAGAGATTGGATTGGACTCGATGGTCCTTGTGGGTCCCTTCCAGCTTGGGTTGTTCTGTGATTAAATGAAAATTTTCCCTTTTTATGGCAAAGCAGTTGGCTCTCTGTTTAATATTATTGCATTTGGAGGTAAATGTGATCCAAGTTAAGGTGATTAAGTTGAAAGCCATTAGCAATGATATAAGCTGTAATTTTCAATTGACTGTTGATGGCAGACCTTGTGTGCGCATATATATTCTTTAAGATACTGACTCTTGTGTTTTAGTAAGGGGAAAAAGTCAGGAATAGCAGCAAATACTGAAACTGAATGTCTGTTTGCCAGTTCAATTCATCCACTCTATTGTCAGACCAAACCTCTATGTTTTACAAGGCTTCTAAATTCTGGAAGTTGATGTTGGATTTGGATTTGGTGATCTTTAAGGTCTTTTCCAACCTGAGCAATTCTATGATTCTATGTTCAAGCTTTTAAAGAGATGCATATATGGGATTATCCCTAGAGTTCACAAATATTTACGAGATTTACATTATGTACTTTTCATATGATAGGAAAATGTAGGATTTATAATTCTAATATAACTCCTCTGTTGATATCTGATTCTAATGCAGTTTGAGTTATATGTTCAGAAAGATGTTCGTACTGAGTAAATATTGGGTGAAAACATCACTCCACATGAGAACGCTGTTCACTGGATAAACTTGCTTACTAGCAACATCTGATATAATTGGAAGTATGACTTGTCTGGAATCAGAAACATGAAAATAGCAAATTCTAAATCACCCACAATTTCTTTACCAGTTCCAAAATATTGTTTAAATTATTTCATCTACAGTCAAGAAAACTTCTGGTGCCCTGGGGGGAGATCAGCAATGGAGGATGCAGACTTTCACCAGGGGCTGTTTACGAATGTTCCCACTGCAGGAATGCCATGCTAGCTGATTGCCTCTGGAAGTACTAAGTGGCAAACATAAGTATGTGTAGATTGTCTTGCTTATTAAACCCGGTTGTATCAGAATGTGAAAGTGGGACTTAGCTCTATAATGAAAGTAAGCCTGTAGCTCTGATAGGGAACAGTGTTTCATGGAGTGTCACTTTTGCTTTCAGTTTTTGTGATGTTGACCATCATTCATGTGTATTTTAAATTTCTTTTTGTACTGCATGAGCTTTGTGTTTGAGACTTTTTTCCATTTCAGTATGTGAAAATGGAGTTTGTCTTATCAAATCTGTGGATGCAATTTTTACGTTGCAGTGGAAGGCAATGTTTTTGACACTGTTGCAAGTGGATAGATGAAAAGGAAAAAGTGTTTTGACTGTTTCTGTCGGTAGCAATCTTCCCTGCTATTGCTGTTTGCCGTTTAACTAAAGCTGTTGTAACAGGACAGTTGCTGGAAGTGCAGCACCATCCTCAGCAGCTCATTTCTGTACCTGCATAATGGTGAAGTATTTGTGTGTGTGAGCCACATGGTAAATTGTTCAGGTACCGTGCTGCCACAGTGCTGATAGCTTCAGGGAAAGCTGTGAATGTAGGTGGGTGGGGGACGGTCTGGCTGGCTCCTCACACTTCAGCCTTAGATCAGCATAAAGTGACCAGGAAACCGCACCCTGAATTTCCGGTGATAGCCGATGGGATGAACGCTCGTATGATTCAACGATCTGACCACTATCTGTGCAATTAACTTTCCTAATCACACCACGCTACAGATAGCATAACATGGTGATGTTATTCCATGAAAGACATGTGTATTATAGCGGCATTTGAAGTCTAGGCGAAGACATACTTTCTCAAAAGTGCGTACCAGAAGCATAGGAATCAATATAATGCTTTCTTACATACATTCTAGTCATATGGTTGACCCCACCAGATGCTCACTCAGTAATCCCCACTGGGATTTTATCACTGTAAACAAACAGCCCTTGGGAGTTAGATTGCTTTTACCATGGAAACAAGGGTGATCCACAGACAATTCAACAGGCAGAAATCAAATCTTAGGATTTCTTCTGGTTTGGGATCAGACAACGTGGGGAAATCAGGGACTTGGTAACCCTTTTCTTGACTTTAGGGGGCATGGTTGCTACGTGTACAATAGCATGTGAAAAGTACGCGGAGCAATTTCTCTCTGTAACCAAGACCAGGCTGCTGCTGATTCGTTCTCCTGTATCTTGCAGTGATTTGATAGAGAGCATTGCTTCAACTTTGATTCTTGCTTTCTGTGTAACTCCTAGATTCAGTGCTTCTGAAAAGCATGGAGGATTTGAAGAATGTTTATGCAGATGTCAGAGAGATGATGTTTTTCTACGGCTCCTTTTGAATAAGCATGTGAATTAAGCTTCATTCATTATCAGACAGCAGACTGACATACACCTTCGAACTCTTAACCAGAACATGTTGTACACTAGAAACACTTAGAATGCAGTTTGCCAGTCAGCGTTAAATGCATGTTGCCACAGTGACCCAAAGATCACTGCAAATTAAATGAATACAGCATTTGAGATGCATGCCAGGTGACCTAGTGCAATCTGTAAGCTGCACATAACCCCTCTTGATTTTCAGCGGTCTTATTTTCCTACCAGGCTTTTCTTGGCTTGATGAGGATTTTCCTTCTTGTTTCATTTCTCTGGGATTTTTTGTTGTTCATTTTTTCATTTTACTATAATGCATATGTTTTCTTACTTTTTTTAATGTCACTTTACTTCCCTCTATTTTCCAGTCTCTATAATTTCTTTTTCTTGCTTTATGTATGCAGACAGGATACTCATTCAAATCTTGTGTTACCAGAAGAATTACTCTAGCTTTACATCTGTTCATTCCCCCTTGGTTCAGTTACCTGTCCTTTCCCAAAACACCATCAGATTGGAATCTGTAGGGTTTCTTTGTTTATTTTGTTTTCAAGTTATTCATTGCACAGTATAATGCACTGGATATGGTAGAAAGTTTAGTATGAAACTTCCTCCATGGAAGCTTCAAAAGCACATTATTTGTTAGCCTTTCATTTGGCTTCTGTCAATGCTGACAATCTTTCTATATGATCGGTAGAGTCGGTAGAGGTACACAGAAGATTCTATATGCTCTCCATATAGAATTGGGCAATTTCAGAAGATAAGTATGAATGCAGGTATTCTCTTAAATTTTTTTTGTGTCTTTTTAAATGTTTTTTTTTTTTTTTCTTTTTTTTTTTTTCCTCCTCTTCTGCTCTGAAGAACCAAATATTTATAGGGAAAGGGTGCCAAAGAGTAACTGAAGATATACACCGAAAAGATGCAGATGTTGCCCAGTCTTATAGGTCTGTAACACTGTTTAGCTTGTGCCGTAACGGAGAGTCAGTGAAAATATACATTGCTTCCTGATAAACAAAATAAACTGGTAATTATAATCTATAATTCTGTTTATGTATTAGTTATGGGTTTTGTTTGTTTTTCCTGGATGAAAAGCAGCTACCTGTTGCTTTAGAAATGGAGTTGTCTTATTCATCATTGGTCTAGAAGTGTTTGGTAGATCAGTTACTCCAGGCTGTTCCTTTCTATTTGAATGACACCACTTTATTCAATGACATATATTATTCAGTTTATTGAAATAGAGTTTTTATACGTATAATGGCTCTCTTTTCCAAAAATAGAAAAATATACATGGAAATAAATTTGAGTACTTAAAAAGTGTAAAAGTAACTTGAAAGTAGTTCTTCATTGCTAAGTCTTGTCTGCAGAATCGCCTGAAATACTTTGTTTTCTGTTCATCCATCTGCCGAAGGATGAGACAGTGGCAATGTAAATAGTGCTGTAGAATCACTAAGGAACAAGACTGTGATTCCTTGGGAATTTTTAGCTCGTGAATTTTATTTTGCAGCCATGGGATTTATCATCTTTTTTTTTTTTTTTTTTTTCCCCTTTGTATAAAATAGATGTTATTAATCCATACTTGTGACAAGCATTCTTTGGACTGTTGTGAACAGCGTTCTCTTGGAGGAGCTCTTTATCATGGTACTAGTCATCATATTAGTATGTGCCTTAAAAGATATGGAGGGAGACTGATAATAAACAAAGCCTCAGTAGGATCCAGGGTTCTCAAAAATGCCATCTGAAGCCTAGATTAAAACTGTTCTAGTGTAATGAGTGTTAATAACTTGATTTTTAACTAAAGCAATCTGATTTAAAACTCTAGGCTGCTCAAAGGTGATAACTCATTTAATTACCAGTGTAAATACCTAGAATGCTAACATGGTCTGTAAATTTAAATATTAATAGAATTCAAAAATAGGTTTTCTTATCAGAATCAGGTCTGTCCCCCCTACCAAAAGGAAGTCACACTTAATGTTAAAGTCATTTTACTGTGACAGCTATATCACTTCAGTATACCTTGATCAGGAAAAATAATAATTTTGCAAACAAACTCATGTATTCAATTCAAAGTTTCAAGAAATGAGGGCTGTTAGAGGATGCACTGGAGGGAAAATTGCATTCTGTATGAACGATGATTTATTTGAGGAGACTGAATGATGGAGGGAGAGGTGCTCGTTACTGCATACTGAAAAGATGCAGCATTCATTTCGACAAGAGATGTAGGCTTTATGGATATGGGGAAATATGAAACTCTACTGTAGTTTACATTAATGTTGTGTGCTCTCATGACTCTGTAGGCAATGAGAGATTATTTTGTCCTTGTTTGTATGATTAACTATGCTATTACCAAAGCTTTTTTTCCGAAAGATGATTCTAACAGTGGCTATTCTGTTAGTGCTTGTTTCAACAGGTGAAACAGACTTGAGCTGAGGATCAAAGACTACTGCATGTGAACATATCATGCAGGAAGAAATGACGAATGAGGATGAAACAAAGCAGACCAGCGAAAAAGAACAAGAAGAGTGGGTATCATAGATGTGACTGTGCTTTTCTTGCATACAAGACTACTCTCCTAGAAAATCTTAAGCAGTAATTTAAAATTCAGCTCATTTATGAAAGTATTATTCTTTATTGTTAATCTTGATGCAAATCTTTAATGTAGCTTATTCATGTGATGCTTAATTTACGTGATGCACGTAATTGTGCAGACCTGTTACTTTACATCTGCTTGATTTCAAGTGTGCAATTCTCAAAGTTTTTAAATCTTGCAGTTATTATATGATTATTTGTGAATACGAATCTTCATTTAAAATATATACATCTATGGCATTTGTTGTGGAGAGAAGCTTAAAATTTGAATCCTAAAACTAAAAACTCAAAAAGAAAAACTATCTAAAATGTGTCTTTGGAGTATTGTGATCAAGTTGAGAATAGGATTACTTTTATGTTCTTGAACAACTTCATCACTCTGAAGTAAATATTTACCAAAGTAGTTTAATGCTTTTAAATGAATGATCACTCAAAGGGCAAATCTTTTTGGTAGCTTCATATCAATTCATAGTTTTTTCGGATGCATAGGAAGGGAGATTGGTGGTGTTGTTATGGGGTTTTTTTTTGTTCCCCTTCAAATATGCTAGTCACAAGCTAAGTATGGTACATTATTTATACATTACTAATAATGTACCTTATTATTATTATTATTATTTTATTATTACTATTTCTGTAATAACAGAAATGGGTGTCCTTCATTCTATAAGGTGTAGCTGTTGATACATACCTGTAATACTGTTCATGCTTTTTGTTGTTGTTTTCACAAGGAACTATTTTTAAAAATTGATGGTAAAAAGGGTGTGGTTTATATAGAAATTTTGCAGAAGTTTGACTGGTTGCTGTTGTGATCCAGACCATCCTGTGTTGTTTTTTCTCCGTACTGTACATTGTTAAACCATTTCCTTTGCAAGAGAAAAGTCCACAGCTCATTACAGTTTTACTTTTGCAACTGTTTTCTTTCTTTCTTTAGCCTTTTTACCATTATCTTTGTAATAATTTGCCCTCTAACATCTTTCATTTTCTCTCATTTTTTATACAGCCTTGTAACAGATGTTTCAGCTGTTGATTTTAAGGTATGAATCATTTTTCATCTTTTCCTGTGCACTTGTTCCTTCTTTTTGTACAAAACAGTAAAACACTTGGTGTTGGCAGGGACCTAAAATATAATCAAGGTTCAAAGCCCTGTGCTGTCAGAATATAATGCTGCTTATTTTTACTGATACTTGACTGGTAGTTACAAGTCTTTGTGTTAGTTCTGCTTCCCTTAACCGTATTTTTCTGAATATTAGTCCTTCACAATAATATATTATAAAATAGATAGTCCACTAATGACACTTCTATACTTCAGAAGTGTGTGTAAGGTTTTTTTTTTCTAACCCAATGGAAAACAGATAAGCTTGGTGGTGGTTTAAGTAGGAGACTGTTTACATGTAAATATCTTCAGACTTGTGGATAGTAAAATGTAAAATACAGTAAAACTATATGTATGGTACCACATCATACAGATGATGCATTTGTGATGTGGAAAAGTATTAAGATTAAGGAAATGAGGTTCTCACGGTACAGGATTTCATTCTCTGTGGTGTTTATTTACAGATGCACTCACACATGCAATTGCTTTTAAAGAATTAAGATGAAAATTATAGTAAGGATTGTGCTGAATGTCATATTTCTTGTTTAAAGAAGGAATATATCTGAAAAGAATCTACCGAAGTAACTTTCTCTTCGAACAGAAAGCCTGTTCTAACCTGTTGGGAAAACAAATTTTTATCTTTACATATTTAAGTGTTAAGTAGGAGGCATTCATCTTTCTTGCTAATAAAATTTGTATTTATACTGTCAGAAAACAACGTCACTGAAAATTATGAGCTAAAGGTAGCTCTACAAATAAAAGCTGTTTGTTTTTTTTTTTTTAATGCGCAGCAGGGCTTCTGTGTCACAGTGTCTGCTTGGTCTCTGCAGCATTCAAAATTATACATTTATTCTTGTCCTTTAGGATGAGTTTAAAGTGATGAGTTCTAGCTAACAGGCAGATATTATGGAAAAGAAATGAAATAGCAGAGCTAAAATCAAAATAGCAGTATGTGCTTAGTAACTCACTACATATACAGCAGCTCAGGACTGTCTGCCACCTAATAAGGAGCAACCTGGTAGATGCTTTCCACCTTGCAAATGTCTCACCTACCTCAGCCTAAATGAGCGAAGCACAACTGTGCCTTCAGTGATACCTGGCGTTGGAGGACATCCCAGAACACTTGGGGTCAAGCTCATGTGGCTGTAGCTTTCATACTCATTGCCTTGAACTTCTCATACTCACTGCTCCTTTTAACAATGAAGTGGAGAGAGCCACTTTTCTACGTCTTTGTAATGATCCTCATGTTAATTATTACTCTCTTACAGAAGGGATAAAAAGACAAATACTTGATATTGGTCCAAGTTGTTGTGAACTAATTAATGCATTTATTCTGCTCTGATCAAAACCATGGTATTATAGAGCTTTGAAGTCCATGTTTTATGAAGCTGAAATTCTTACTGCTTTTCTCTAGACTAATGTGTTACCATCTGCATTTTTAACTGTATAATTCTTTGTAGATATTTTGAAAGTTATATTAGTACTCTGGAGAAGGAAGAAGTGTGATTACTATGCAAAATAATTTGGCATTTGTTAACTTTATTAAAATAAGGAGATAATTATGCCTGTATTGTGTAAACAGACAAGGCATTGTCTATTAGCACTGTCTCAGAGTTGTGATCAGCAGCACAGAATCTAGGTGGGGGCCTTTAGCTACTGCTGTTCCCCAGGGACCGGTACTGTGCACAATCTTGTTCAGCATCTTCATCAGCAACCTGGGTCAAGGGATAGAGTGCACCTTCAGTGAATTTGCTGAGGATATGAAGCTGAGTGGAGAGGCTGAAACACTGGAGGGCTGTGATGCCATTCAGCAGGACGTGGACAGATTGAGTGGAGAGAAACTGTAGAGGGTTCAACAAGGACAAGTACAGAGTGCTGCACTTGGAAGGGAGTAACTGCACGTATCAGTACAAGTTAGGGGCTGACCTGACTGGAAAGGAGCTCTGCAGAGAAGAAGTTGGGTGTCCTGTTGGACAGCGGGTTGAACATGAGGAATCATGTCCTTGTGCCCAAGAAGGCCAATGGAGCCCTGGACTAAATGATCTCCAGAGGACCCTTCCAGCCCCTATGATTCTTTGATTTTCTGGCTTTGTGTGTGTCATTGTATCCTTTAGTAATAAAATCTGTTTCACAAAGCCGAAAACAAAGAGGAATGTTTCAGGGATGTCTGTCCCAGAAATGTAAAGATTTGTTATCTGAATCTTAGCTTTTTTTTTTTTTTTTTGGTAGTTTAGTGCCATAAGCTTTTGGAAGGCAGCTTGGAGAGCAGTGAATGCTATTTAGATCAAGACTCCTTGTCTACAGATTTGTTTTAAATACAACTGGCATTTTTGCTTCTTCCTTTACTTAGGTGCTTTTTTTTTTTTTTTTTTTTTTTTTTATTGTGTGTCCATGATGGATACGCTATATTTACATGTCTGCTCTTATTTTATTTCTGTGTTTAATGTATTTATATCTCTAACATTTTAGTCTTTCTGTTTTAGTTTTAGTCTGTCTGTCTATGTAGTTTTGGGGAGAGTACTTTGACAAAATATTGCTGTGTGCTTATTTTCTTCCGAAGGTCCCAGGTACTCTTAGCAAGTTTGAAGATAGGATTCTGGGCCTTGTGAACTTTTGGACTGTTGCATTCTCAGTTTACATAGGAATGGCAATGCTGTTAAACTAGACAAATACTTTAAGTACTTCTTAGTTAAATAACAACTTTCAAATCTGCTGAACAGGTGTCAATCAAACTGAATTTCCTTCAGCAGATCTTTTTCCAACAACAATTTTATTTTTGCTTGTTCTCTTGTTTGCTTCTTTTGATGGAGACTGCCCACTTCTGGGATTACTTGCTAGCTTTGGTTGAAGTGACATACTAATTCATAAAAGTGCATGAAACATGGAAAGCATGTAAGCACATTCTTAATTTGAGCCTGGCACAAGTAAGTTATGCTGAAGTCAGAAAATTCAGAGTTTAAATGTGAAAAACTGAGCTGGCAAGTAAACCTGCATACATAATCAAGTTGTGAATTCAGAATCCAGTGTAGATAAACTTTTTCAAAACTCAGGCTTAATACAGAACAAGTGAAGCTACGTTCATTAGACTTTTGTGGGAGTTATAAAACTTTGCCAATCTGGAGTTGATATTCATGCTGCTGTGAAGCTTTTGTCCCTGCCATTGGTATTGTGCTCCTGTCGTAGTGGAAAAGTACACACAGGTTCTGTAATGCTGATTCAAAGCATTATGAGTGACTGAACCTAGCGTTAGCATTTCTGGTGAAGCCTCCTTAACACCACTGTGCCTTGTCTGTATTTAACTTTTAAGTTGGATGGTGCTAGTATTCCTGTGAATAAACGTGTAGTTTTAGCGGGAGAAAAGGAGTCTGTCATTAAATAATAAATGGAAAGAGGCATGGAAATATTGCAAATATTAAATTTATTTAACTTTTTTGGAAGAAAGATATTAGAATAACATTGATTGACTGCAAATGTCTCTTGCTAAGTGAAAAATAAATGTTAATTGCTGAATTTTATTAGAGACAGTAAGTACTTACTATGGAGCATATTGTATAAATTCTGACCTCTTTATTAGTAAGTTCTATGCAATATAGACAAAATTGCTTCCCCTTTTCATGGCTGCTTAGTCTGGCCTTTGCAGAATGTTGCTAATCATGATATGCTCTCAAGAAAGTTCCTCAACACTTTTACTGATGCTGATAAAGTTCGCTCATTTGAACATGGAGCAGACTGAGTATTACTTGCAGGAGGAGGAAACAACCTTGTCTTTATTTAAAAAATGGCTTTCCATCTTGGCCTGTTGAATTTGATTCCCAAGGTGGAACAGGATAGAAGGAAAGCAAAATAATTCAATAAGCTGCTTATTCACCTTTGTGTCAGTAAGCTGTTAATTCAGGTGGGATGCATTGTACCATCAGGTATGCAGACACAGCTCTGTGATTCTGCTGTAAAGATGATAACAAGTTATTTTTTTATTCAGTTAGCTTGTCCTCTTGACAAGCAGTGGGGAAATAGTATGGAGTATGTGGGGAAAAAGAGCCTAAGCTGGTATTCCCGTTGAAGATTTTGCATCAGAAAATTCAGCTCTATTGTCAGTATGGATAAATTTCTGTTATCTGGTTTCATTGCTAGGTTTTTGTTCAAACATTGGTCTTGATTATGTCCTAATTTAATCCGAGTGTTCTAAGAAAATGGGATAACAACACTGTTAGATACAGATTTTCTTGGTATGTAGTGTTTACAACATATTTTAAGGACCAGATTAAGTGAGTCAAACTGTTGATGTACCTTTTTCCATTCTGACCAAAAATTAAAAACAGCCATTCACTTTCTTAGAAAAATATTTTAATAAGTGTCCAAATTGTATTCCTTAATGCTGAAGATGACCTAGGCAAGCTGACTTTAGGAAAAAACACAGTATTATAGTTATGTTTAGAAGAGCTAATATTTGTGCTTAACTGAAATGGTGATCGAGTTGTTGTCAGTTTAAGTACTTTTCATTACTGCGTCCTTGCTTAATGCTGGCCTAAGGTTTGAGAGGGGTCAAGCAGACTTAATGACTCTAGTTCTTCCTGAGCTTATTGCTTAATGAAAACTCATGGTACTTACACCTAACAAATATTTAGTTGCATTTTGCTTTTTTTGGAAGAAGGGAATAAAAGGATTTTTAGAATCTGTTCTTAGATGGCAAGTGGAGAATGAATGCTTACAGTCATATTTAGGGCAGGATGATGAGATCCTTTGATTTCATTTTTTTCACTCTTTCCATTATTGTACTTAGTAAGTACAATAGAAAAAATGTTCATTTAATTACAACCGTTGAGTGTTTCAAAAAGCAAATACCTTGATTTCTGGTTTCTGCAATAGCAGTCAGGGGCAAACATGATTACTGAATGGCTGAAAATGGCTAGAGTATGACTTCAAGGTTTTTAACTGACTATG